TAGTGTCCTGAAGGACACTAATGACGGGAAAGTTCAGGAAAACTGCTCTCCCCCCTCACGAGTGATACTTTGGGAATGGGAAGATTGGCTACATTCACAATACTTCGCTGCTCAAGCTATTAAAAAGGAGAAAGCCAGACCTGCCAGTGGTTTGTTAGGTGGCGTTCACTTCCAGACCATTCTGGAGGTGCCTGGATGAGGTGGGATGGAGAGAGTAGGGAAACACGGGCACACTCTGACTGGAGAGATGGGGATGTGAATAAGCTGAGTTCAGCTCTTCTTTGGGGCGTGATTTAGTTGCATTCTGTCCTGCTGTTCTTGGAATGGTATTTAAAAGGGGAAGGGCAATGGGAAGGTGCTCCCCTGATTTGTGTCGTGGATGAATCCAGTCAAGGCTTGAAATAAAAACGGAAGAGGAAACTACCTAATGCCATGTGGATCCAGTGTCCCTGGGAATGGTTCAGGCAGGCTGGTGATGCCAGCAGGGAAGAATCCCCAAATGGGCACATGGTTTTGAGAATGAATGCCTGTCCTCCTGTCCTGCCATCACTAGCTGAGTTCCTCTCTTCTTCTGTTTCAACCACGCTGTCACGTTCAGATGAAGAGTGTGGCCTTCTGAGCCTTTTTTAATGGAGTAAATAGAATTAAAATAAACCAGCATTTTTCTTCAAAGCACAACAGAAAATGTCATGACAACCCTCGCAATGAGCTAAACATAACTTACAATAGCTCAACATTAAAGGGCTTTTTCCTTCAATCTGCTGGCCCGTAGCTCGCTGTTAGGTAGTAACGTCAGCTGGATGTTTGAAAGCTTCTGCAGCTTGGAAATGAACCTTAATGATTTGAGTTTATTGTTGTTATAAGTGTCAAGCTGCTAAGGAGAACATGTGCTGTATCCTGAGTATTTTGTACTCTGGGTGAATGGAAAGCAAATGTGTGAGGCGTAGTCATCTCTTGCCTTGTATGACAGTGTCTCTAGAACTTGTTTTACTTATTCATTCCCCACTGATAAATGATACAGATGCAGCCCATGTGGGTGGGGAAGGGAAGACAGGTAGCCCTCGCACTGCAGAAGGTCAAGGTTAATGCTACCTCCAGCATTATAATGACAGATGGGAGGCAGAAACCTTAATGTACTTGTGATTAGCATATGGTTTCCTTGGCTGAGTGTCCGAAGGATTTAAGAAGCTTGGGTCCACACTTCATAGTGTTCACATTTTAAAACAAACAAATAAAAAGTGTGTATGGTTTTATTGTTGAGCCTTTCAGCTGTTTTCCTTGAATATCTCCACTTTTGAGTCAAGTACTGTCAGCTGCTGTGTTCTGGAGATGCACTGGGGTAATCCATCACCAGGGACTCGCGGGCGGGTGATATATTAGCACGACATATCGACCTGTGTTCCTCTGATGTATAACTCATCAAGATAATGTTGGCAAGCATTGTACAAAAAGCAGCATGTTTAAAAAGTATTAAGATGAATTGATTCCTTGCTTAAGATGTGTGAAAGGAAGAATAATAGCAGATTAGCTCTGGGATCCTGTGGTTCTCCCGGAGCCGTGCTGCGTTGTGCGGTGCAGAGGGGCGGATGGAATTTCATCTTTCCTCCCACTTCTGACAGCAAAGTGTCTGGCCCTGGTTTTCCCATTCTCAGGCAACAAAAGTCACATTAAGTCTTATTTTGTGGTAGTGTATTTTGTCACTTTCAAAAGCAGTTTGGCCAGTCCCGAAACATTATGTGTTACCTGTTTTGTTTTGGGGTTTGTTTTACTTTATTAGGTTAACTTGTTCTAAGAGTAGCCCTGATTTTTATCTCCTGAAGGCACACTATGGCTGCTAGTGTTTAGGAAACATTTTAGAAGTGATGTTATGACTGAAACACCATTAGTTTTTAGTTCCTTCTTTCAGGGTCTTAGCAGACGTGAAGGGAAAAGACACCCAAGGCTATCTCCTTGTCTGTGCAGGATTGCTTCACTCATTGCTGCTCCTATGGCTCTTGGCAGTTCGTTGCAGGGACTCTGCAGCTACATTACTTGGGTGGTGTGATGTACTTACTTAGAGTAACCTGGATGTTATTTTAGCCTAAATGTCATAGAAGGATTAGGTTGAAAATGTCTGCCTTCTGTGCCTGTCACTGAAATATCGGAATACTTTATGATATTTAGTACATCAAACCCTCACTTAATACTTCTTTATGGCTTCTAGAAAATGCACCAATCCTTTCTTTTCCCTCTCTTTTTATTCTTGAAGGAAAACTCTGTAGAAGTTCTTGTTAGTGGCTGAGGAGCTGCGGATCTCTGTTATTAATATAGTGGAAGTCAAGGCTGTGTTGGGTCTTACTGGCGTGAGTAAAGTACTTCTCCCACTTTCATCAAGAAACGTGTGATGGTCCGATAAACTCTGCCCACCAATGCAGGTTTGACAATGATCTTGCAATGCAGACTGCAGAATAATTCCCATTATTTTTAATTCACGTTGAAGAAGTGCAGACTCCTGCTCAAATTAAGGTTGGTTGTGTCGCCGGAATGTGGTAATTACTTTAATTGATCACAAGATAGTTTCCTTGATCACCAATTAGACCAAATTACCGATCAAGTTTCAAGACGTGAAGAAATGTCCAAACTGATTTTGTGTAATAGTGTTTTCATATCTAATCAAACCTAAATATCTTTTCCTTCCAGAGCCAATTGTATTTTCCCTAAGCAAGGTTATGGCTCTACAAATATAAAGGTGATTCATCAACAATAGCATTCCAATTCGTTTAATTAGCAAAGGAAGTATTTAGGACCTTAATGGAGATTGCGTTGGTGAAATTGCTCGGTAGAACCGTAGCTCATTTTCTTAGTGGGAGATGCTTTTTGTGTATCATTAAAATAAGCTAAAATGCAAGAAGTAAGTTGTTTTGGGTGATGGAACTAAATAATCATAAGGTCCTTTCCAGGCCTAACCATTCTGTCTGCAGAACAGGGCATGCATGAAAGTGGGCATGCCTCATGTGTGATTTGTCCTTGGCTGTAACACCAGGTTGCCCTGGTTGGGACAGTCATCATCAGCTGGGGCAACGAGCAGCAGGACTAGTCCTGGGGAGGGTCCTTTGCACCAGACTTAAGTTGTTCTCATTACTTGAATATTCCCAAGTTGAGCATTCTTTGGGAAGATGGACAGTTTTGAGACTGATGTCCATTTTATCCAGCTTGAAGACATTTTACTGCCTGCAGGGGAAGAAGCAGTGGGTTGATGTGGTGGTCCACAGGTCGGAAAGGATTTGGTGGTCCAGTGACCAGGGGGATTTGTCATCACAAAGTGTGAAGGAAGGTCTGCAGAGCGAATTTATTTAGTGGACTCACTTGCTTGTGTAGTTTGCTCTGTTAGAGCAATGATTATTGTCACACAGTCAATGAATTGTGTTTGTGTAGCGTAACCTGTGTGTATACATAGGTAGGGGTGCTCCTGGGATGGACAGACAGACACCAGTAGAGCAAACATGAACCTGGTAGGGATCTTCATAAACATAATCTATTTTTTAGCCTTGCTGTTTGTACAAAAGCAATCCAGTTGCTGTTTCAAACTTTTGGGGACATTTCTTTGTATAGTCTCCTGTACTGGAAATAGCACTCCTATGGACACCCTAAAAGCATTTAAATCAAACAATCATGCAGCACCATTAATGCAGAAGTTTTCCAAATCATTGCAAACATCTAATGCACAACTTGCAGCTTCCTGCTTCAAAGGTTGCTGCTGAAACATTTGCAATTTTTAAAAGCAATTGTTCACTCCGAGTAAAACTAAACCAAGGGAAGTCAGATTTTCCTGAATTTTGGAATGCTCTTGGGTCAAAGAAAAAAGCTTTTTAATTGCTGACAGTTTGGTGATTTCCAAATGACAAACCTCATTGGAATGATTTTCTCTGATTATAACGTTTGCATTCGTTTGACTGGCAAAGCAACTAACAAAGTCATACTTCATCCAGGCACCAATTTCTTTCTTTACTTAAAGGTTTTTGTAATTTGTGAGAGGAAAAAAGACTTGAAACTATTATCAACCATTATATGTTATTCATTGACCACATGTTTGTTTGAAATGGCCATTGCTTGGCGGAATGTGGGCTACATACGTTCTATTCCGTAAATTAGCACTAAAAACCTACCTAAATCAGGTAGAGTTTTGTTGAGCTTGTACTATAATATGAACCAGACTATAATGTGGATGTTACTTTAGTTTTGCATGTTAATTCAGGTCCTGAACCTCAGTGGATGGAGCTCGGTATGAACAAAGCCTGCTGACTTAGAGGCGTCCTGCTCATGGACCGAGGCCCTTTGGGCCCCACTGTGTAATTGCATCCTTGATTTACATGGACACTCTAATTTTCTTATAATGCAGTGATTTGCACCGAAGTATTTTGGCAAGAGCCTGCCATTAGTTTCTTCTTGGGGCTGTGATAAAAGCTGCGTCCTGGGGGAGCGTGCCGTGCAGAATATAGCGTCAGAGCACTGGGAAACCTATTTTAATTCATTTTAAGGGGAAATATTTTCTCCTAAAGCAGAGGGGCAAACCCACCTGTCCCTTTTTTCCCCCAGTAAAATAAATAGTAAAATAGTTACATGGAAGGATGTGTTTATGGAAGCCGTAGCAGTAATACTGTGGCATGATGCTTGATTAGAAATGGCACGTTTCTAAGATGCAGTATGGAATGAGGGGTTTGGGGTGGATGTTTAAAATCACTGTTGGATGGCAGAGGTAAAATCATTGATCTCATGCAATGTCTTCGAGTGCTGGTGTAAGTAACACTGAGCAGTGGTTTACTGGGGTCTGAAGGGGATGATTTCAGCAGCCTCAGGAAATGCTCCAGTGGTGTGAGATGCTGAAACGCTCCTTTAGCGCACACAAACCTGAGGTGCAGCAACCTGGAGCATCTCTAGGAGTTTTGGAGTGAATCTGGCAGATCCCCTGCCAGTCCTGGCAGGTGAAAGAGTATTTTCCTCTTTGCTCTTTCTCTCCTCAGGCTTTTGGATTTATGACACGTGTTGCTCTACAAGCAGAGAAGATGAATCACCACCCGGAGTGGTTTAATGTCTACAGCAAGGTAATGTGTTCACCAGCCCTACTGAGAGGCATGGCAAGTTAAGGAGACCAAACCACTCTCTGCCTTTGTTTTCGTAGCTTATAATATACAAGAGAAGGGAATGGAAATAGATTGTGTCTTTATGAAGAGATTTGAGATTTTAAAGAGACGCTGAGATATTTGTAGTGGTGAGGAATCAAGAATCAAGCTCTTTGTGACTGCTGCCAGCTGCCTGGTTTGGACCTGTAGCTTCACCTCTCTGAAAGTAGAATAGAAGCCTTTAAACTCTTATTTGGCCAACCTGAATAAATTACTGTTTTGAAACTACTCACCAGCTCTCATTCCTTTCTGTGCAGCAAACCAGGAGCCCACTGGTGGTAGGGTGACTCTGTAGGTACCTAAATGGGAGCCTGGCAGTCTCAGTTGAGGTTTGATTTTCTTAAACTTGCAGGCTCCCATGTCTCCACATAGCAGCTTATAATATTTGTTTATAATATTACCTAACTGATGGTGGTCTCATATTTACAAGGGTTACAAGGTACACTGCAACCCTCGAATGAAAGGTGCTGTGTGAAGGGGGAAATTATTGCTTTCTCTTTATTTTTATTTGCTAATACTTCTCATTGCATTGTATCGAGTTGTTTGGTTTAGCATTTGGTGAATATATGGCAATACTGTTAAAAATATGCTGAAAGGGGATACAGACAAGCAGCCTGTGACTTGGAATCACCACCCCCAGAGCAGGACATCTCCACCTCTATTCCCTACAGAGGCATCCCTGCACTGGCTGCTCTTCAGCAGCCCTTCAGGTCACCCTGTTTGAGGGGAGATTAAACTGGGCGAAGTCCTGGTCACCTGCTCTTCATGATTTGTGTGTGTTTCCAGACTATTCACAATTCATCTTCTTTTTCCCCCTCTTCTCTCTTCCCAAAATCTCAGTCAGAGGCAAGACAAGCCCAGCTCGTCATCTGGCTTAGTCTAAACAAACCTGCGCAGGCAGCTGCGTCACAGCGAAACGCACCAGCCCGTTTGTTTTTCTTCTTGAAATTAATCTGCAACAAGCTTAACAATTTTTTCACCTCCAGGGTGCTGGTTTTTAACAAAACTCCTGAGCCCCTGACTCGGCTCTTGGCAGCTTGGTCACTGGCCCAGGTTCTGCATGAAACTGATCCGTGGGATGTAAACGTAAAGAGTGAGTTACTTAATCAGACACCTCTTCTTGGATGAAGCCCAAGCATGCAGAGCCTGTTTCCTTCTCTGAAGGGGCTCACTTTGGTTAGAGTTCGGGCTCTGTTGAGCCTCCCCACCTACAGTATCTTCTGGTTTACATGAGCAGTGAGCATCCAGCTCGCTGCTGGGGGAGAGCATTGTGTAAAACCAGTTTGCTACAGAGACACGCAGCGTTCCCGATGAGTTGCTGCTCGGCCTGTGTGGCAGAGGTGAAAGTGGCCTCGTAACCCCTTTCTTTTCCTTTCTGACAGGTTCAGATAACTCTGATTTCCCACGACTGCGGTGGACTGACCAAAAGAGACGTGAAGCTGGCTCAGTTTATTGACAAAGCTGCTGCCTCAGTGTAACCACGATATAAAGCATTTTAATACAGTGTCCACCAGTATTATGTAAATGATATCCCTCATTCCTTGTTACCCTTATTTCCCAAATCTTCTGAGACAGGATGCTTTGTAAAGAGTGGCTTAGCTTTGTTGCCCTTTAGGATCTTAGTGTTGTGACCCCTCTGGATACCTGTGCTTGTCCTTTGCCATCGCTGGCTCTGCATGAGGATGGAGCAGATCAATCACCACCAAGTAAGTTTTGAACAATGCTTTCCTAGAAACTCCAGCAAGTTGGAAGGAACGCAGGAGCACAGCCACACGTGTCAGGGTTCCCAAGCCCACAGGAGCCTGCCCCATGCCTGGGCACTTCCCTACCATAGATTTGTACATCTCTGCACTTCAAACAGTGTCAGGGTCGGTCCCTCTAGCTTGGTACCTCCGTCTCTGCCAGGGACCTGTGGCAAGTGCAAAGGATGTTGGTGAGAGTAGTGCAAGCCCCTGCTGCTGCTCCCTTGGAGTTGCAGCTCAAGTAGCACTTACAGCTTTGTATTTCAGTGTTCCTTCTGTGCTCGTCTGATGGCTCTTTGAACCCTTTTGCACCCACAACCCAGCAGCTGTATCCAGCAACAGCGTGGCCGCGTGAGAACCATTCCCCATCGCAGATGCAGGCTGCATCCTGCACTGCTGAAAACTTCAGCTTCAGTCCAGCAAATACCAAAAAAGCCCAGACCCGCACCATTAAGCGAAGCATGTGCCTGAGTGCGTGGCTGGACTCATCACCCTGCAGGATTGAGCCATTGTTTGTGTTGTAACACTCAGACCTGCTGGATCCGGGCACCATCCAGAGCTGCCGGCGGTGAAGGAAGCGGCATTAGCAGGATTCTTGCTAAGCTGGGCTCGGCTGGAGCTATGCTCACCCTTTTTATTCCCCTCTGTAGCTACAATTACTCATCGCAAACATTGTTCCAAGAGCTGCCGATCCCGCTGCCGAGCTTTAATTTCTTCCCTGCTTTCAAAGTCTTTGTTTTTATCCTATGATCCTCACCAAGACAGATTTCCACTGCCGGCGGGGAGATTTCAACCTGCTTAAGGCTTGCAGAAGGGCCTCTGGCTCTGCAATCCCGCTGCAGTGTCCCCAGCGTGCACCGTCATGCCCTGCAAGCAGCTCCGGGCGCGGAGCTCGGGGGAGATTGACACCTCCCGAATGCCTGAGCGCATTGCTCGCATGACACAGCCACCAGCTACTGCGGAGCGAGACCCGCGGGTGCCAACATCTATATCGGGGGGTGTACGCGAGGTGTGTGGGCTCTCAGATATTTGGGATGCAAAATGCCACTAGCTGCCATGCGGGTGCTGGCGTCGATAAAATAAGAAAGGTATTTTTTGTTAATCCTTAGCAAGTGCACTGTCATGTGCTAATTGGTCGCAGGAAGCAAGATGTAAGATGTTGGGGTTTATTATCAGTAACGCCGCTCAGGGGATCGAGTTAAGACCTAAAAAGAACCCAAATTCCGAGTACGTGCTCCGAAGTTCTCTGCTTACGAAGGGCCTTTCCGCAGCGAAGGGGTGGATTTCCCTGATATGGTTTGAAAATGGTCACTGGTGTGAGGGATGAAGAGAGCTAAAACAACCAACCAGGCTGTGATGTCTCCTGTCACTCGAGGGGGAGTGAAAGAAAGGAGCTTCCCCCAAAGTTTTGACAAAGTCTCTAACGAACTGTGAAACCTCTGTTGTTAGCAGTGGCGTGTGCTTCGCATAAAACCAGTGACACCAAATTCCTCCTTTGTGATTTGTTTCTTTATTATTGTACAGACGTGACAAAGCTGTTTGGTTTTCAGATAAATTTAAGATAAATAACATTTAGTTACTGGGAGGTCTTTGGTTTAGAATATTGATGTTTATTTACATACTCTGAGGCAAAAAAAATCCCCCCCAGCCAATTTAGCTGGAGAGCTGCACTGCCCAGCTATGGCAGAGCGGTGCAGCCGTGGTGCTTTGGGGATCCTGAGCACCAAAGAGGCAAAAACACCCCGAAAAGGGCAGGATGTCTTTGAAGCACTCATCGTTTCTAGGTCAGCGCTTGTTTAGCCACGATTTCTTGTTAACTTCTGGGCATCCCACAAACTTGTGAGTGCCTTTTGCGAGCGTTGCTGTGCAACACCAACAATAATAGAATGAAAATAGTGAATAAACGGCTTCTGCTTCCTTTTCCAGTGAGTGCTGGCTGCGGGGGCAGCCTCACAAGTGAAATCCTGGTGCTGCTGTTGCCATGAAGAGGTTCCCTCAGGGCTCCCAGGCAGTGCCTTTGCCCCCATCCCTGCTTGGTTTTGTTTGGCTGCTGCCCTGTGCGAGTTGGAAAGCTTCACCCTGCAGGAACCAGGGATTTCCTTCATGATAAAAGAACCTTATTTCTTTGGGGTGGGTGCTTTTTATGGACAAGATTCACAGCATTTCTGAAATGCATCCCAAAACTGCAGTGAATACCCGTTGAATTCCACCTCCTGCCCCATCTCAGCAGCATCCCCAGCTCACTGCTCTGCACAGCTGGGCAGGGAGCCCTGTGATGCTGAGAAGCCCCGACCCACCTCCATGTAGCTCCCTAAATCCACAGCACCCAGCTTGCAGCCGTTCTGTGCTCCTGCATCTCCCCAGCTCTTCTCCATCAGCGCTGTGCTGCTGTGGTGTGGGAAGTGCAGGATGTGGCGGGCCACGGGGAGGGGATGAATATCTTCCCTGACCAAGCTGGAACTTCACAGCAAATGTTACACAGCACGGATTTAATGTCAGGTGCTGGATTTGGGCCAGGAAACAGCCTAAGGCACCTTCTCTTATGAAAAGCATCATCAGCTCCTCTCTGAACAGAAGTGTCCAGGGTGCAGGGGTTGGGTCTTTCCCAGTTGATGTGATGCTCTATGATGATACAGCTCAAGCAGCTCCCCAGAACAGCTTCCCTCGCTGTGCTGGCTTCTCCTTGGGGTCATCGTGGTGTTTGCTCCCCATGTGTCTGCACCCCAGTGCTCTTCCTGCAGACTAATCACATTTCCCTCCTCCCTGCGAGGCTCAGCTCGTGGCCAGCAGCCACCAGTTTAAATATTCCTCTGGAATGTTTGGGGTTTCTTTTTGCTTAAACACCGATTGTGGCTTGAAGTATTTGGATAATCCATCATGAAACAGCCTTCTCGTGCAGGTAACCTCCCTGTGTCGACACTGATTGAACTCGCTGTGTTCCCCCCACCAACCCAGTGTGGGAAACACCCAACCTGGGAGACTCATGTGGTGCTCTGTGACCACAGGAAATTAAAAAGCAAAAGCTTGAGGCTGAGAGAGCCGAGCAGGAAGGATGCCTGCCGCTCGCGACGTGGTTGGGATCGCTGCTCGGGTCCTGCGAGGCTGCACATCGCACCTTCGCAGGGCTGTCTCTGAACCAGGGCCAGTGCATAATCCCTTCCTCTCCCCGGAGCGGGAGCTCAGGGCCAGTAAACTGCAAAAATCATATTGGAAGGGGTGACTTCTTGAGGCTGAGAGAGCCGAGCAGGAAGGATGCCTGCCGCTCGCGACGTGGTTGGGATCGCTGCTCGGGTCCTGCGAGGCTGCACATCGCACCTTCGCAGGGCTGTCTCTGAACCAGGGCCAGTGCATAATCCCTTCCTCTCCCCGGAGCGGGAGCTCAGGGCCAGTAAACTGCAAAAATCATATTGGAAGGGGTGACTTTGGCATTGGGTGGGCTCGGGGGGGGGGTCCCAAGGGCAGCTCTGCAGGATCAGGTCAGAAAGCAACAATCTGGCTTGGTTTGTGAGTTAGGCTCAGTTCGACTGTGGTGGGATTCCTCCTGCCCTTCCTCCTCCTCCTTCTCCTGGCTGTCCAGGCTGGAAGCTGAGGGGTGATGATGGAGTGTCTGAAGAGGAGGTGGGGTTC